TCGTTACAAATTTATAAATAAATCTCATTATAGAAATGCATGCGAATAAACAGCATTTTTCCATATAATAATTTTATTATCGTCCAGACAAATGTTATTGTGAAGATTATGCATTAATATTTAGTTTTCAAATATTTGTATAGAAAGTTTGGTGTAAACGCCTAACTAAGTTCAAGTAGGTGTGAGTGTCTATAGTTTTGTCACCACCAGGTGTTCAGTAACACCTAGCGGTCTCCTATTATTATCGACCTATTGTCACATTGTGTTCATAATTTTCTTCCTACTCGAAAAGGCCAAGGACAAATTGCTTGTTTATTTTACGCCTTCAATTTCCTTCCCCTCTTCCAGAGAGCGTTGGAACAAAACCACTTCAAACTCACAAAGTTGTTATTCAAAATTCCACGAAACACTACACATGATGGGATTTTGATTTAATCGACTTAAAATATAATGAAGAGCCTCTCAATTATTTCCCTGAGAGCCACTCGTATTAATTTACATAATTAATCGTTTTATATCTGCTTTTACGTCTTCTGGTGTCGTCCTGTAATCCAGCTACAAGGAGGTCACGAATTGTGGATATTTGTAGGGATGCACTGTGGATGCGATGCTCTCTGGTGGGGATTATCGTCCGCACTAGTGAGTACTATGACTATCCGCAGTACTATCCTGATAATTAGACCAATTCGTAAATTACAAGGGAAAAAATGTGGTTCGGATTCCACTATAAACTGTAGGTCCCTTATTTGCCATTAGCTGAATGGGCTATTATTTAACAGCTGTGTCTAAGGAACATGTCGGCCTTAGTCACTAACAAGGCTACAAGATCGCGCCACACATCCTACACTCATCCTTCACTTATATTTGGGTTAAAATACGTACATAGTGGCGTCCCCATCTTAAATAACTGATAATTGATAATTAATTCCATTTGACAATTTAATCATACCGAAGGAAACACTACACATTAATTATGATAATTAAACGTAGCTTTGGGCTGCATTATTGTAGGTTATTTAAAGTTTACTAAGTTCCTTAATAAATTATTGAATAGAGGTTATGCTCAGTTCGAAAATAGTCCATTTCCTTACAGCTGATTGCTTCCAAATTCGTCAAATTCCATACGCCAAAAACAAATAATAATCAGCTGACTTTTCCTGACTTAAAAATTACTTTCGCTACACAAGCAATACTTTGCCTGACGTCAAAAAAGTTACAACTGAAGCAATATATATATATAGGGTGGCTGGTCATCAGTGTTACAAAACTTTTTTGGCGTAAGTACAAAGTAAATGCAGTGTAATGATGCATATAAAAGGTTCCAAGTCCAAAAAATAGCTTCCCAAAGAATTATTTTATGTTTTTCAAAAATAACTATGTTTTCAAACTTAATACAGCTATTTCTCAATTACCGGTACATGGATTTGAGTAGACAATGTCATTTTCGTGTTCTACATTGAATTTTGAATAAGAATAATAGAAAACGACGGAGGATTAGTTGTAAAAACCCCATTGTAAATAGATTCAAAGATAAAAATTAAGATGTTTCATAAAAATTTAAAAAAACATTGGCCTTTTGTATTTGTTCACACCCTGTATACAAGAAAGTGGCCGATTATGTTAAAAACTGCGCCATTTTATAAGCTTTCTAACCATATGCTACACTATTGAGGTTTAGATATTCTGTTGTTTGTTTTAGTGGTTTGAATACCAGAAAACAGGGTGTCTTTAACATTTAAAACATAGAAAGCCGGCATGTATTAAGCAAAAGTTGTATTTTTGTTTCAGCTTGAACAGTAAAAACAGTAAAAAAGTTCCCTGTTTTCTGGTATTCAAACCACTAAAACAAACAACAGAATATCTTAACCTCAATAGTGTAGGATATGGTTAGAAAGCTTATAAATTGGCGCAGTTTTTAACATAATCGGCCACTTTCTTGTATACAGGGTGTGAACAAATACAATAGACCAATGTTTTTTAAATTTTTATGACACATCTTAATTTTTATCTTTGAATCTATTTACAATGGGGTTTTTACAACTGATCCTCCGTCATTTTCTATTATTCTTATTCAAAATATAATGTAGAACACGAAAATGACATTGTCTACTAAAATCCATTTACCGGTAATTGAGAAATAGCTGTATTAAGTTTGAAAACATAGTTATTTTTGAAAAACATAAAATAATTCTTTGGGAAGCTTATTTTTGGACTTGGAACCTTTTATATGCATCATTACACTGCATTTACTTTGTACTTACGACAAAAAATGTTGTAACACTGATGACCAGCCACCCTGTATATATATTACGAAATATCAGATAATTTGTTTAAGCTTGATGAAGTCCTCGTAGTTTTTTCATCGTGATAAAAGGTATCGTTCAATACTCGTCACGAAAGTCCCATTTCGGGGAGATAGTGTTGTAAATCCAAGTAGTCAAATACTATTTATTTTTCATATACTATTTATTTATTTAATACTATTTATGAACATATGGGATTAGGTTTGCAGAAGCTTGATACAGGAACTATAAGAAGAAGGTAAGCAATGTTTATGCCATTTGCAAAACCAAATTAATGCAATAGAGTTAATGGAGCCTACAGTAATTTTCAGAATAGAAGATTACACTGTGGAAACTATGTTTGGCTTACAGCTCGGTAAATATTTAACAGGGAATTCAGTAGCAAAGACCCTCTTAAGAGGTGTTTAAGAACTCACTCTTACATCAGAATCGCACGTTAGGATCTCCTAAGAGACCTGCCTTTGGCTTTGTACATTCGTGTGCATTCCCTATCTAAAATGTTTATGTCTCTGACCATACAAGAATTTTTTTTGAAAAAATAATTAATAAATATTATTTTATCTCTAGTAGCTTAATTTTAAAGGTTAGAAATACAGTTCAAACATAGCGTGCCAAAAGAAAGTACGGAATTTCAAAATCAGCCATAAAATACTAAATATATTCGTCTCGTCCCACTCATACAGCATTATATATTTCTCTCTATTCAAACAATACTTGACGTTATAGACTCGAACCGTTATTATTTCGCTGTCAGTTTTGATTCAGTCAAAGCAACTTTGACACCCCCCCTCCCCCTTTGCCCATTCAAAGCCCCGAGTCATTTTAATCACTACTGTGACCCACATTTTGTTCATCTCTCGTTGCTTCTCTCTAATTTTGACGCTACGTATTCCTTTTGACGTTTCCTCTTCACCAAAACATAATTAATATATGAGAAAATATTTATGAAAGATATTTCATAGATTTTAATAGCTGTAAGGGCTTAATTTCGACTTTTTATCATTATGATTAGCAAGAAGCTGTATTTAAATTCTACGTTGTAATTTAGCTTACATAAATTTATCATGAATTTTTAAGTCTGCGAAATCTTTAGCAACTCAATTTAAGTTAAGGCCTATGAATTGCTGATTCCCTTATACACTAAATAAATTAACATCTGTAATATGTGTATGAAATTCTGCTATCTATTTTCTTCTTAAGAAGTGATTTATTTCTTTTTCAAAGATTTTCATCAGTGTCTGACTTAAAGAGTGTGTTTTTAAGGCGCATCAAATACATATTTGCACATATTTTATTACCTAATTATGCTTATGTTTATTAAGTGATTTAATCCTATTTAATGTATATTTGAATGTAAAAATGGTGTTACCATTGAAAGAATAAATAAATATGGTTTTTCGTTATCTCAACTGTTTTCGTGACAACTACAATGTATTACCAATCTGTATTGTTTTATGAAATTTTTTTTTTGAAACCTTGACAAAAACTCTTTTTCATTAAGAATCATTATAGTAATACATAATATGAATATTATGGTAGGATGTAAGTTTAAAATAATAATGATACAACATTGCAATTTATAAATGTTATAATTTATTATAACATAAAACATTATAAATGTCGATTTGATAATAATTTACTACGCATAATTAAAAATTATATTTTGTACTAGAAAATTAAAGACTTAATCAAAATTGAATTAAATCAACACGAGCAACAAGATTGTACCTGAACTAAATTGAAACTAATAATTTCTTTTCTACAAGTTTTAACACATTTTCACAACTCAGTTCTGCAGCTGAACTAATGTAACACCCTTTTATTCACCCTGTCTTCCCTTTTACGTATGTCTTGAAATCCCTCACTGCAATCATATATCAAAAGTTGGATCCTACTTTCCTTCAACTTCTTTGTACTTTCTGCATGAAACACTGCTGCATTGCGTAAGGCCTTTTTTTTGCAATAAAAGATGAAATTGCCATTTATAATAGTTTAAAAGAAAGTTATGTTTGTACCAATTAGGAGATGTAAGTTTCGATAGAATAAATGGGAAAATTTATCCGTTCAAGAACATAAACGTTACGCAGATCAATTTAAAAGTTAAAAAAATATAGAATTTATTGAACTCTTTTTTCAAATAATGATTTGTACATTTACTTACTACAGTATTACTATTAAAATGTATAAAAGTAGACATCCCATAAGTATAAACCAATTGTAACGTTTGTTTAGACGAGTCTCATATAAAATGTGCTACTGTTAAAGCTATATTTTCTCTTTTAGTTTTTCTTACTGTTACAATATTAAGATTAAAAAGTTTGTTTAGGAGAAAGATATTTGTTATGTCTAACATTAGCATAGCTATAAATTTGTTCCATGGGAAAACTAATAGGCTAACTATAATTAAGGACTTAAAATGAACTTGGTCGTATAATATTTTTATATAGAGTGTGCCCCCTAAAAATGTTCTGTCTATCTTTTTTCGACAGTAATAGGTCGATTTGATGAATTGTGTTAGACCTAACGATTTCGCAGCACTTAAGGTAAAATTTTAACTGCACATTTAAGAGTCGAAATATTGCAAAAAACATGCAGAAAACGTCTCCTTTACGAGAATGAAAACATCCTTAACTCTTTACTTATCACAAAAGTCTATTATGTTTCTTGAAGTACATAATTTTTTTTTTTTGTTCGCAGATGGCAAAGAAGACTGGATGGCTCAAGAGGGGAACACGGAAGTACCTGCAGCACCTCTCTCTCACACAACACCAGCTGATACCAGGACAGAGGCTACTAACACTGACGACGACCTCCACCAAGGTACAAAACGAAACGTCCATTTACACAAAAATGTATAAATGTAATACAATTAATCATGTCAAAGTAAATCTGTTATCAGAGCGTAGTGAAAAACATGAATTGAATCATCAAAGCTTAACACGTAAAAGTAAACGTTGCAGCTTGTCACAGCTGGTTAAATTATCTGTAGATATTCGTTTACAGATATTAATTTCTGAATCAAAACTGTCAGGTGTTTTTAATTGCCTGAAAGACTAGATTTGGCATTGAACAGCAATACACATTTTTGCGTTATAAGTTTGTCATAACCCTATTTGGTTTTAATAGGTTCTATGAACAGTATAACAAGGTTTTTATGCCGTATAATTCGTTATGTTATAAACTAAATTAAACAGTAATTGTAGTTTACGCAACGATTGCGTAAAGATAGTGTTAACGACACGAGTAGAAAATTTAAGGTACGAGCCTTGGCGAGTGCCTTAAAAACTTCTACGAGCGTCGTTAACACTATTTACGCGAGTTATGCGTACACTACTTTACCTACGACGGCGTTTTAATTGCTAAAAATCACTACTCATAACTTCTAAGAGAGGTTATGTTTTTGTTTATAACCTCTCATTGCCACTGACAGTGATGGAACGAAACATTGCATCAAACACTAATTGCACCACTCGACAATTAAATTGGCCTGAACAGCTGATTATTTGAATTTCGAATCATTACAATTTTGCTTCTCCTCTCTCAATCTTTGAACCTTATTGGTCTGTTACCCGTGTTGTAATGAGTAAAACTATGCTGTTATGAAAGTAAACAATGCTGTTATGAGATACTTTTCAATTCTAAGAACTGTACTGAAATACCTACTTTAAATAACGGCTGTAGGTAAACTACTATTTCGTCATAACTTCAGTTGTAAACCAACGTGTATAAATCGAACGTATGTATCGATTGTTTTATACGTTTGTAGCTTATTGTTGCATTCTTGTCAATAGCAATGAATACAAACAGTTTGACATATCTATAGTATAATGCACATTAAATAATCTTAGACGAAATAATTTAATCACTTACTAACCATCTGCTTGCTTGCATCAGCAAAACTGAAAAAAGTTTAAAGTTGTTTTGAGAAAAGTAATTTTTTAACTTAGTTAGCTGAAAAAATGTTGCTAAATTACGAAGTATTGTTAACTTAGTATTGTTTACAATTTTCTGATGCGTTCCGGGAAAACTACACAAAACAATCGGAGGATTCTTTGCACTAATATATTTTTCATATACGTTTGTCAGCCTCAAACAGCCTTCTCATTGATCCTTTAATAACATTTTCACGGAAAATACGATGTCTAATTAAACCTTTAGCTGGAAGGCACGAGCTCCTGCAATTACCACTGCGGCAATATCAGTAAGCCATTGACGTAGCGTTGGTTGTGGCGTTGGAATTGCAGGCTTTGATCTGCACGTTAATTATATTGCCGTACTTTAATTACATAAAGTAAACGACTACTCGTAGGCGTTGTGCCGTTTTGCGAATGCAAAGTTTATTTTTGTTGCTGTATTTACTAGTAAACATTTCAATGTTTGTGAATAACTCACTTATTCGGTGGTTCAAGGTTTATGTTATAAAATAGTGGTAACTTGTTTGCTTAACGTACTTTAGATCCTAGTTTGTAAATTATATTTTTCAGTTATTGATTTTATGGTATATAATATTGAGTACATGGTGTATAACATTTGCATCATTGAGGAAAGCAAAATGGTGTATTTACTGTAAAAGGTGTTGATAGAAAGTATTATTATTTACGTATGTTTATTGTTACACAGATAGTTTCCAGTATAGGCTTTTGAATTTTTAATTAAAAAAACCTTCCAGTTGAGAAAGAAAAAAATATAACCAGCCTCCACATTTTCATCTGAATTAAATAACCAATTTTAAATTTATTGTTCGCTATATTCACTGTATGGCAATTATTTGATATTTCACTATGGCTCTAAAATAATACAAAGTACAAGGAAACTTTGAACATACCTGTGAAATAAAAATCACGTGTTCTCCCTAAAATTCATATCCTCCAAAAAAATCACTCAGAGCTTGTAAAATATTTCATTGATTAATTGAATATTTAACCTCAATTCTTTCTTCATATTCACGCCGACCCATTTTGACCATATTGTATTCATATAAAAATAATTTAAATTGATTTACATGATATATTCTATGTTACAGGGTCGTCTGATGAGCATCAAGACTCGCAGCAGCTGACGCAACAACAGCTGACCCAGCAACAGCGGTACATCGTAGAGACCATCACCATGACTACAGTGACGGAGAGGCGGATCGTACGAGAGGCGGAACGCAAGAGTGTGGAGGCGGAGGACATCCCTTCCAGACCTCCCGGCATCCTCAAGGGAGGCAAGCTGTGGCGGAGTGTGGACTGCGGCAACCAGACAGACCTGGGCGAAGACCTCATGGGACATCCGCCTGGCGAGGAGGACGACCGTCGAGGAGTCAGGTTCTCCGAGGCCGGCAAGTCCGAGAAAGAGGACAACAAGGACGGCAGTGAGATGAACTTGACGTTCAAGATTGCAAATCCTGTGGTTGTTTCTAAGCCAAACTCTGCCGTGAGACAGCTGTTCCCTGGACAGAAGTTCATGTCTCCACCGCCTCAAGCGGCACGATCACCTGAGGCAGAGACTGCTCAAGACGAAAAAGACAAGAGCTATCTGACAGCTGAGAATCTCAAGATGTTCGAAGAAGCGAAAAAGAACAAGCTTCAACAATATTATAGCTCAAGTAGAAACAGCTCGAAGGACGGAAGTTCTCAAACTCTCTCGTCCCCTCAGACGGAGCATCCACCGAGTGATGACGATGAAGGTCTGAGTAGCAATTTGATCAAGAGAACAATTGAAAGGAACACGCTCAGGCGAAGTCTGTTGAAGTACCCGCACGATATTAGATTGAAGAGGAACCAGAACAAGTTGAAGAACGAAAACTCACTCGTGGAAAGGATAAAACAACTGACGTGTGACGTCGATGACGAAACGGACAAGGGAAAAGATGGAGAGTCGAGTAGATCGAGTCCCCCCGGGGAAGAGTCTCAGAAGGTGCAGAGTTCGAGCCAAAGTCGCCCTGATAAAATCGCCTCCTCCGGCATGTCTTCCACTTATAAGAAGTTGACGGATCTGTTTTCACGTAGGGATAAACTTGAAGCAGCGCACCCCTCGGTTATTCTACAGACCCCTGTGTCTGTGGAGAGACAATACGCTTATTATCAACCGGTCTATCACCAACAACACCCTACTCCACCTGATTTAGGCAACGGATTGAACACTCCCACTGGTGTTGGTCAGAAACATTTGGTTCCAAGAAACAGTGTAACGACCGAGGCGAGAAAACAGTTCCTTTCGTCTCTGGCACCTTTGACCGCGTGTGTTAGCGGTAACTTGGATGATTCTCCAGTATACAGAGATAACCAACCGTTACCCGGGGACAGGACGTCTGTAGCGAGCACCAGTACGGCGCAGGACTCCGAGTACAGCTTAGACGACATAGAAGAAGCCCTAAACTCGGAAGACACAAAATCTCAACCCCAACCGGATGTGGTGGCAGGTACCCCGGCCGGAAACAGTGACCAAGACGAGCTCGCCCTGTTCGTACAGCAGGATGCGGGCCGTATAGAGCGGATCCGTAAACGTTACAGTTCGACACCAACCTCAGCTGGCTCTGACGATGACGAACATGACGACTACGGATTCAACCGAAGACCTTCCGTTCGTGGAATCAAACCGAGATTCGGTTCTACGACAGAAATTCTACAGCAGATGCAATCTCAGTTGCAACCTCCAGCTCTGGCGTGTCCAAGTAGAGTAGGGAGTCATATAACATGGCCTTATTACACCCCCGACGACTCTAGGAGGAGTAATCCAAGTAGAACAGCGATGCCTATATTGAAAGAGGAAACTCACTTTACCTACATCCCCGATCCCAATATGGAGTACGGAGCCAACTCCCCCGTGGATCCCTCACGAACGTATCAGCACCAGATGATATATTCGGCAACTGGGAACCTTCATCAACCCATGAGGATCGGAGGCGGTGGAGATATCCAATATCCTGCACGAGTGCATCACATCCACTCGGAGTCTCCTCCCAGAGTACCACCGATGGGGATGATGGTTCCGTACCAAGAACATGACTTTCCTTACCGGACGACAGCGCCTATATACGCCAGAAGAGCTATCCCAGGAAGTGTCGTCCAAATGAGGGTTTCTCCCATCCCAGCTGGATCTGCTGTTAGGCTACCCCTACACCCTCCCTATGTAGAACCTGAGCCCCACTACTCTACCCAGCCGCTACCACCAGGAACAACCTCCATCATCAGAGTAGGACAGCAACAGACCATCAGAGTTCCCTACCCTACTGGAGGGCCTGTGCAGGTGCATCTCCTAGCAACAAGGAGAAGTGAAAGCCCTCAACGAGGATCTCCTTCGCAACAACCTGCGTATCCTGCAAACCAATACGTTGTAGCACGAGGAACGCAGACTTCCTCGATATCTTCCACCTACTACAACATCGGGAATGCCGTTCCTCCCAGAGGCACGTACTATCCCTCTCCACCCATTCCTCAAACAAATGGACCAAATTTCAACCGAGGGCCTCTAATATACTCCGATCATCCAGCTAAACCTCCTCATCTTTACAACAACAACAATTTCCCTCCGAACCCCCACCGAGCCACGTCCCCCATCCAGTCGTTGACCTCTTCCCCCACCAGGATGAAGCCTCAGAACGAGCGAGGAGTTCCTGAAGGTGCTGCGTCCTCTTCCCCAGCATTCCCTCAAGACCAGGTTTACCAACTTCAAGTTTCCTCGGGCACAAATATACCCTCTCCTAGCACCTCGGAGGCTAGTCACTCCCCCGCCACCTGTGATACCGCCACCTCTCCTACCACCCCTCCACAGTCGTCTGCCAACCCTTCCTCTGTATATTACTCCATGAATGTCTGACACAGTCTACAACAGTACCAGTACTACTGGACCTCCTCTCAGCCCAATCCCTAGATGTTTTGTTGTTTAGATTGTTTGTTACGCCTGGGGTTAGTTGGGGACTCATTTCCGTCCTTGAGGTTGAAACTCTTGTTTATGATTGAATAAGTAACCTATTGAGTTTTTGTCGCTTCTGGTAGTTTTACAATATTCAGTACACACTTAAGAATCTAATAGATTTATGTAGATTATCAGTACCTGATATGTTATTGTAAAAGGTACAGTATGAAGTTTTCAGATATTTTTAGGAAAATCTAACTTAATTGCGATTTTCTGTTAATTAATCGAAATAGCTTTGTCTCCAATTCTACAGTTGTTATAATTTGTAGCAGTAGGTCTATCTAACTGCTTAGCATATTTAAAATATTGTGTTTGTGAACATTTACACCTGACAGTCCTAATATAGTTTCTTTGACACAAGACAATAACATGTCCCCCGACGGGAACCTACCCTAGCTCCAGGCGGTCAAGACTCCAGTATTATTTGTCGCAATAATTCGTCTAGCTTTGTTATTGGTCAAAGGCCGCTCATTGTTTCGTATGGTTGTGATTTTAAGGCTTAAATTTATAAACCCTGCCTAAAAACATGTTTGTAATACACGGTCACACTGTGGTCTTTTAAAAAGACGTTTTGTAAAAACTTTAATCGAGTATCGAAGATTCTTCCAAGTTTGTAGCGGAAAACCGAATGGTCCAGATTGTTTATTTTATTGTAGTCGAATAACTATCGATATTTTTATGAAATTATTGCGTTTACGTTATAGAAAATTGTTGATAATTTACGCTCATATTGTTGTAGTTTTTTAAGTTTTATAACTAAATATAAAATCGAAGCGAGATCTCTTTAGAGTGTTAAAATGTATTGAATAGTAGTTAAAAAATCTCATAGTGAATTTCTATCTATTCTGTGTTTAGTGTTAGAATTGATCTGAGAAACTTGTTCGCGAAGGCCTGAGAACGGAAACGAATATAAATTTTATTTTTAAATATAATTATTTATATAATAGCTCTAATAAACCCCATTTTATATTATATATAGTATGTAATAGTTTTTAAAAGTTAAATATTTATAGACCTTTATTGTACTGCAGTATAACTGATGCATTAACCAAAACATTTTTTACTTCTCGGTATAGTACAGGTAGATCATATTGTTTAGGCCTTACAGGGTTACCACCTTTTTCACTAGTGGCTGCAAATGTTGTTTTTTTTTCTTTAAATTAAATATTTGTTTATAGACACTTACAATTGTTTAAAAATTATAAACGCTCTAGTAATGAAATTTAACTCCAAAAGAAAGCTCCTTAAAGCATGGCAAACAACATATTCAGGTCGAAGAGTTTTCACAGTAACGTCCACTCATAATGGGATTAAGGGTAAGAGGCTTTGGCCGAAATGGGGCTGCAAGTGTTGGGGAGGGGGGTGGAAACCCGCTGTTTGGACATGGTACAATAACTCAACTAGCCTGTTTGTTACTCAATCGACTGTGTATAATATTTTTTCTTTTGGGCTTACGATGTCAAAAAAAATAAGATTTGAACTTTTCTAAATCTTCCACATTACATTATGCATTTCATACATTTAACTATTATTTACATTGTGCATTTACTCCCACTTGTATAAGAAAACCTCAAATTTGTTTGGGTAGGCTTCCGTATTTGTTGCCAAAAACAACCGAATGAAAATTTCGATCAATATATCGATTGTTTTATTCGATATATCGTTTGGTTCGTAGGTTTACCTAACCTAACCAACCAAACGATATATCGAATGAACTAATCGATATATCGAATAATTGGTATTTTCATTCGGTTTTTTTTACAACAGATACGGAAGTCTACCCATTTGTTTCAATAACCGAAGAACGATTCAGAAATCTAAGCCACTAGTGATAATGGTGAATTTATAAAACCGATAAATTGTAAATACTTGCAAAGATATTCCACATTCCATTATGTTACCAAAGATCAGTTCTACCTTCAGCTTGCATAGGCGTAAAAGTTTATTTTACCTTCGTAATATATGTAAATTATGTAATATAACTGAGAAATGTAATAATATATCTAAAAGTTGTTGTAACTGATGTTTCGGTGCCAAAGACGTAGAGCTGTACCAAAGCGGCTCGAAGGAGCCTTAGGCCTAACCTTATAATCAAACATTTGGTTCTCTTTTGTCAATCATTAAATATAATTTAAACAAACAAACTGCATTTTCATTAGTCAAAGTGATAAGTCCATAAGTCTAGCGTGCTATGGCTTGCCAATTTCTCCAAACAACAAGATGGATATGAGTTTAACTATTTACCGAAATTTGTAAGGCAAAATACCACCTATGGTGTCATAGCCAAAGGAGTAAGAGGGTAAGTAATTATTTTATTTTATTTATTTATTTATACATGCCAACGGCTAAGCCAATACCAAACACCAAGTATTTACCATATTATTTGGCGTTATTTGGAATTATTTACCAAAACACCAATATTTCTATCTACCTTTATGAAACCAACACCATTCATCCATTAATTGTCCATTGTTGCCTTTATCTATTCATTTCTTACTTTACAATCAACTGTGTTTTTGTGTGTTTTTTTCAAACTGCTACATCTTTTCTGTAAAATTACGAGTCATATTACTTATGTCGGGCCTTCAAATGTTGTTTCCAGGGCCACTTAAAGACATAGTGTAGCCTTTTGTTGCAGAACAAACGTCTTGAGATATTGTTCTACATTATTTACCAACACTGACGTAACAATTGAACAATTGTTCAATTGTAAAACTTGACAATATTTAAAATGTGTTTTAAGGATGGTATTTGTAAAAGAAATGGTGAATCGTGTACTGTAGTATCATAGACACAAAGAATTAAATAGAGACTGTCAGTTGTGCTGTGGTTCTGGCACACACCGCTGGGAGCGCCATATAGTTACGGCTTTTACGCACTACTTAACTACACGGCGCTACCAGCGTGCTCCCTACGGTAACAATGGTAACCTCAGCACGGTTGACAGTCTGTATTTCATTCTTTTTGTGTACGGTATTATATTCTGTAACATGGTCTCTCTAAAGACTGAGCAATGATTAAAAGGTCTTGCCAGTCCAAGGTACACGGTGGTGCAGAAGATAGGTTCCATCATACACACTATAGTGGTAACTGAAATGAAAATACCTCAAAAAATTGAATAGAAATCGTCTCTTTTATACGTCCCATATAGTTAATAATATGAGGAAAATTACACTAGACAATAATATTTTTTAAAGGTTTTCAAACCTACCATGATATTTTATTACTCAGTTTTAGTGGTGCAGAAGTAAAATACAGGGGATTCTCTTCCACTTCTCATCAAAGATTAGATTTTTTGTCTAATGCAATTTAGAGACACCTCAGTAGTAGCCATACTGTAGCGAGCTACGATGACGGTATAATAATACTAGAAGTCGTCCAGTGGTTGAAAACTCGACCAAAAAATCTAATGTACAGACTTCTCTATTTTCACCACACGCTGTAAATAAAACATGTGATTGGAATATCTTCCATTTGCTTTGATATTCTGTTTATATTTCGTCAAAAGCTTAGCAACCCATAAGGCCCATGTAATTTTTTTAATTTTTAAATTAGTTTTTTGTGTTTATTTTTTAGCCTATTTTAATTTATCAAGGAATTCTGCACCCCTACAGAAAATGTTTTTCTAACATTATGAGCAAATTTTCCCTACGATGCACACGAGCTGAGAAAAAAGGTTTTAAAGAAACATGCTTGCCTATTAATATAGAAGTCACACTAACTGACAAACTACTCAAGAAATCGGTACGTAAGGTTTAACGAAAAAGGTTCTATTTCGTTATCAATTGTTTAGACTAATCAACGTTATGATAGCCAATCAGGTTAACACGATGCCAATGTCATGTACATGATTGGTCAGTGAGTGTGTAATTACTAACTAATGCCATTATAGATGCATCTGTTGCTTAAACTAGAACTAACGGTAGTCAACCCCACAATTTAGGATGCTAAGTTGAGCTAAACGTATGTTAAATACTTGCTGGTTTGAAAATAATATTAAATTTGAAAAAAAATACTGTTTACATTGGCTACAATGTAATTTAAATCCAATTCAATGCTGTATCACAACTAGCACTAATTCTGCTAAATCGAACATTCATCAGGATTTCAGTTAAATTTTATTTTTTTGTCTTCACCAAGCTCATGTTATATGTAACAGACAGTAAATAGGGTAAATGTGCCATACAATCAAGCTGAAAGTGTTGTCACTAGTTTTATAGCCTTTCCTTAACCCAGCTTCAGAGTAAATTACCTACTTATCTCCTGTACTTCTCTTCTCTCCCAACATTTTTCAAAAAATGTGGGGGAAAGTTCTTTATTTGTTTCCAAAAATTTTTCCTGTTGAGATAAAGAATAGTATATTATTTTCAAATACTGTACTCCTCGTCTAAAAAAACAGCTGTTTCATCAACAGTGTCCCTAGTAACAAAGGTTTTCCTTTTCGAAAATAGATATTATATTTTATAACAAGAGTAGAAAGTGAGTCATATGTTTGAAGTGTGTGTTTTTGATGTGATTAATGCGAGATAAATGGTCGATAATATTTGTAGACTTATAACTTTCACTCGTGTTTTGAACGTTATTTTTCGCTACTACAAACAGACTAGATTCTTAACTAAAACAGACATTGAATATTTTTTTATTATTGTTAGGAAAATTACAAAACTCATAGCATTTTTTTGGCGATGCCTTCAATTTAAATTAATTAATTAGTTAATATTTACTTTGGTTGTACAGTTTTTGTTGTTAAGGATTGAAACAGTTAACAAAACATTAACAGAATCTTTGTTTGTTTACGTCGGCAAAATCCTAAAAAGATAGAAAACATTACGTTCGCATAGTGAACATTCTTTTTCCGCGGTAAAGAATGTAATGATACGTTTTCGCAGGTGATAAACATGTAACAAAAAATAGGTTATTTCACAGTATTGAAGCGAAAAAGTTTTTTTAATAGTCTTAGAAAACTCTTAAATTTGCACACGCCAATGTTTTATTTTGATTCGCTTTCTTTAAAATGAACTTAACTCGACAGTTAACTTAAATCTAACACATTTTGAATATTTTGATTTCAATACATACATTACAAAACAAAAACGTAGTGACATAATATAAAAATAGTGGTCACTGATAACCTATTAACTTTACTCATTATTATTTCTTTATTTGCACATCTTGTACACGTTTTTTTCTATAGTCTAAACTTTGAAACGTCGCAGTAATCCTGAGAGGAATTGAGTTACGTTTTACGATTCCGACCGTTAAACCTTCCCAACCAAATCCCAAAGGGCTGCTTGCCTTAGGCTCGACACACATTAACTTGTGGGATTCTGGGAACATTGTTGCGATTGAAATAAATTCTTATCTCTTAAAAAACTATATTTTGAGTCAATGAGTAATTTTCAGTTTAGTATTTTAGAATACATACTACACTTTCAGGCTACTACTTCAATTCATTTACCAACCTATTTATGGTATATTTTCGTTGTTGAGTGTGGGAAGAAATATACATTGTTTTATGTCTTCCTGCTTTTGATTATTTACATTAAATATTGTTTACTCTTACTACTTCTTCTAGTGGATAGACCGCAGGACTTTGGTGCCAGAGGTCCTGGGTTCAAATCCACCAAATCACCAATGGATCTAAGTGATAATGCCGCAACCCCTAGATCTAGCCTAAAGTAATTAACAATCCCGGGCTCGTGCCTACCGTCCCAGGACAAAAAAGAAAACTACTTCTTCTCCGACTCTTACTTAGTTCTATGACATCACTGCAATGGTATGTGCTGGTGGATAAGTTATAAACTTAGAGTTATTAGTTAACTAACAGTTATTAGTATTGGATGAGACAATTTATAAAGCAACATCTTTATTTAATTTTTGTTTAAAACAAAAATATACTACATCATGAAGCTGGCACCTACATACTCTCTCCCATTAGGTCGACAACAACTCATTAATGGATAAGCGGTGGGGGTAACTATGATATTTTATGAGTAAAATTACAAAAAAATGCAATAACTTTGAACCATGATTTCACAGAATTGGGATTTTTCAATTTTGTTAAAAGTTAAAAGGACCATAACATACTAATTTTGTATCAAAATCGATGGAGCAGTTTTATAAATTTTTCCATTATTTTAGTTTTTGTAGTTTTGATGAAAAATCACCCTTACGAATCAAAATTTCAAAAAGTCAAACAAACGCCTGGAGATAGCTTACAGAATTTCATAAAAGTCGGACCACTGGTGTAGCCTATAGCTCTATACACATCCACAGACACACACCCACAGATATAATTTCAAAAACACTTTTTGGGTTAAGGGGGACCCAAAACTGATATTAACCAACAGTTAGACTCAAAAACTGTTACGAAAACCATATTTTCTCTATTTGTGTAAAGGTGGAGAACATAATAGCCCTTTAAATTGTAAATTGTTAGGTTGTGTTTATGTTAATTTGGCCACATACTTAAATTAATTCATCTCCCTAATTATTAAATTGAGCTGCAAAATAAGCCTAATTGATCTTCATTGAAATTAAAACTAAGGAATGTTTGGTCCTCAAACGTATCTTTAAATAAAGACTTTATCCAGAATTTATAGCACGAATTTAACTACAACGGTGATATGATTGTTTTAACTAATTCTTAGTATTACTATTTTTTCCATATAACAATTCATTCTAAAAAAGACGCTCAATAAAAGACTTAAGTTCAGTCTTTATTGTGTTTGGTTCAGTAGGCAATACTGGGGCAGTAACTGCTTGCGGTAAAATCATTTTTTTAATAATTCCTTTCGATTTATTTCACTCTACAGACCTTAGCAAACTTTAAACTTAATCCTGAAAGGATGTGCTGATGGAATATTTACGTTGACATTATTTTTCTGCCTTACTCTGCTAAAAAATGTAATTATTTATATTTTGTACATTTCTAACGTAATGTGGAATTTTTTGTTGTCTAACTTATACAAATTTTATTATTTTGTGTTTCAATAATTTCTTTTCCTACAGTTACCTAACAATGTTCATGTTCTCTCACTGATTTGAGAAAGCAAAGTGGCCAATTCGCTCATCAGTGAGACAATGTTAACATTGTCTCACTCCAGATTTGCAACGTGAAGGCACGAAATAGTGAGCGCGTAAC